AGCCACTTAATATGGCTTCTGTGAGTTGCTCCATAGATCATTCACCTTGCTGGCAGCAGCTGCAGAGATGCCAAAGCACCATTGGCTTGGGAGCTAGAAAACAAATACAGTGCTGCCTCGGAAGTCGAACGGAATCCGTTCCGGAAGTCTGTTCGACTTCCAAAACCAAGTTCGGAAACCAAAGTGCGGCTTCTGATTGGCTGCAGGAAGCCGTGCCGGATGTTTGGGTTCCAAAGAACATTCACAAACTGGAACACTTACTTCCGGGTTTGAGGCATTTGACTCGCCTCAAATGTCCGACTCGCAAGGCATTCGGGATCCAAGGTACGACTGTGTGATGTTTTTGAGCATAATCTTGTCAGCTGCATTTGTTGAAAAATCCCCTCCAGGAATCCATGGTTAAGTTTGAAACAGTAGATTTACACACCTTCTTTCCTTGTGGTGGGGTGCTTGTTTTGAAAGTTTAAAAAAATATTTTCAAGTTATCACTCAACCACCGCAGAACAGGAATGTTCTGCAAATGGCACCTGCCTCAGAAGAAAATATTTGCATTGCAAAAGAGTTGTATCTTGCGTGTCTTATCACAGCCAAGAGAATTTGGTTCACTGAGCATCCACTCCCAAACATGTTTTGCTTCTTCCTTTTTCCTTTTTCTTCTTTTTCTGAAGAGAAGTCAAAGGAATGACTCTTCCGCTCTTGGTGACTCTGCTTCAGTGCTCCATCTGTTTTATTTATTTATATTAAGTTTCGCTTGTTTTAAAGTATGGCTGTGTTTCCCCCCTTGATTTTACTGTTTTATCTTTTACAAACCTCTTTGAGTGTTGTTGTTTTTTATTACAATCGAGCTGTGCATAAATTTTATGATATAACTAACTAACTAAATAGCCATGCCATCAGCTGCATGCATCGTGAGGGTTAACCAGCCCTGGCATTTTTGTTGTTGTACACACAACACACAGCCTGTTTTGATAATTGTTTTGGGCCATTAAGGAGCGTCTCCACCCCCATCGTTCAGCCTGGACACTGAGGTCCAGCTCCAAGGGCCTTCTGGCGGTTCCTTCCCTGCGAGAAGTGAGGTTACAGGGAACCAGGCAGAGGGCCTTCTCAGTGGTGGCGCCTGCCCTGTGGAACGCCCTCCCACCAGATGTCAAGGAAATAAAAAACTATCTGACTTTTAGAAGACATCTGAAGGCAGTCCTGTTTAGGGAAGTTTTTAATGTTTGATCTTTTATTGTGTTTTTAATATTCTGTTGGGAGCCACCCAGGGTGGGGGTATAAATATTAAATTATTATTATTATTACTAAAACAGATCTTTTCCTGTTGGGTTTAAGTTTCCTTTGCTAACTTTTCTACTATAGAGAAAGATTAGATAGATAGATGATAGATAGATAGATAGATAGATAGATGATAGATGATAGAGATAGATAGATGATACCGTATGTTTCCGTGTATTGGACGAGGTTTTTTGACTAAAAAATCACGTCAAAAAACTGGGGTCGTCCAATACACGGATAGTGGCATGGGGGAGGAGGAGCGATCTGGGGGGTGTTTCCTGCCCATAGCTGCGTGGGGGGAAGAAGCTGCACACTGCCAGCCAGCTTGTTGGCGGGAGCACAAATTCCCCCGATGCCGCTGCGCGCGATGGGCCCTCCCTGGGTCGTTTCCCACCCGTGGCGGCATCGGGGGAGGTTGTGCTCCCTGGAGCGCAACTTCCCCCTGATGCCTCTGTGCACGGGAAACAACCTATGGAGTGTTTCCTGCATGCAGTTGCATTGAGGGTGGGGGGGGGGTGGGAAGAGGCTCAACAACTTTGGGCCATCTCCCCTCATTTTCCTAAAATTGAGTCCCCCAAAATAGGGGGCGTCCTATGGACAGAAAAATACGATATATAGATAGATGATGATAGATTAGATGATAGATACAGTGGTACCTCGGGTTACAGACGCTTCAGGTTACAGACTCCGCTAAGCCAGAAATAGTACCTCGGGTTAAGAACTTTGCTTCAAGATGAGAACAGAAATCGTGCTCTGGCGGTGTGGCAGCAATGAAGTTAAAGGAAAGCCAATTGGGATGCGGTTCCCACACAAAATAGGATACATCATTCAGCCTTTAACATTAAAAGGAAATAAGAATGCAAGGCCTTGTCTAGGCATTGCAGTGAAAACTCATCCAGCTGTGCTGCAGGGGGGGGGACATTTACTGGAAGAAAAATCTTCTGAGTCATAGTCTGCTTCTTATCAAGGGATAGCTTTCTCTCTTCCAGCTCGCCTTTCAGCCCAGCTTCAATGAATCACTCGTATTCTTGATTAAGTATGCTTTTCCATTTGCAGCTGGATAAGTACATCTCCAGTAGATTCTTGAGCAAAGAATATGCCCAGCTGTGTCTGTGGTGTTTGCTTAAACCGGATAAGGGTCCTAATGGAGGATTAGTCAAGCCCCATTGCGTGTTGTTCCTCTAGAGGAGAGATTTGGATTACATTGGAGGGAACTAAAAATAATAATAATAAAATTGTCCAGTAGCACCTTATAGACCAACTAAGTAGTGGGGTAAGTGGATTGCCAAAAGGTAAAGGTAAAGGACCCCTGACAGTTAAGTCCAGTCGCTAATGACTCTGGGGTTGCCGAATGACTTGGAAAAACTGTCTGCAGACAAACGCCGGCTCCCTCGGCCAGTAAAGCAAGATGAGTGCCGCAACCCCAGAGTCGTCCACGACTGGACCTAATGGTGAAGGGTCCCTTTACCTTTAAAATGATCACTGCCTGTATTGCTTTTTAAAATAATAATAATAATTTTTTATTAGTTTTTACACATATTTTCCAGCATAACATCCTTTCAAATTTTTTGGCTGTAAAGCCTTTCTAATTATGCATTTTGTTATTATAATTATTGCTATAAACTCAAATTTCCAATACATCTATTCTTAATTCTTTTCACAATAATTTATAAATTGCTCCTTACAAAACTTCTTGTAACCCTGCAAGTGATGTCAATTGGTTACCATTGCTTTCCAGATATATCGAAAACTTCTTCCATTCCTTTAGGAAAGTCTGGTCCTGCTGGTTCCGAATTTTCCCTGTTAGTCTCGCCATCTCAGCTGTACAGTAATACCTTGGTTTACAGAAGGTTCAGGTTGCGTTTTTTCGGGTTACGGACTGCCAAAACCCAGAAGTATGGGTTACTTCCAGGTTTTGGCAGTTGCGCGTGCGCAGAAGCACTAAATCATGCTTTGTGCATGCGCAGAAGCGTTGAATCGAAACCTGCGCATGGGCAGACGCGCAGCTGCAGGTTGCGAACACTGCGGGTTGTGAACGTGCATCCCGCATGGATCACGTTTGCAACCTGAGCATCCACTGTATTGCTGTTCCTTATTGCTTTGGTGGTCCTCGAGCACTAGGAGCATAGTCTGGCCATATCTCTGGGCTGTGCTACCTACCCAGTGTGCATACCTGTGGACTCTGTAATAGAAAGAGATTGACAGTGCAGGAATGAGATGAATGAAAACAGACAGCTGTAAAGTGATAGAGGCTATTTTTGGTGTGCGTGTTTTCCCTTTATAATGGATGAGATTGTAGGTATAGGGGAGGGGAGGAGGAGATGTTACGAATTTGTTCCAGGTCCAGAGAAGTGATGCTTGGCCACTGCTCCGACTCTGCATAATGGCAGAACATTGAGTCCAATCAAAGGAAGCAGACGTGATTCACTTGAGGCACACGTTCCCAAGAAGCACGCAGCTGTAGGTCGTCTTCCACTGTTATTGGCCAGCGAGTTCCAGGATCAGTACAGTACCATGGAGGCTTACAAGCATATGACATGTAAAAATGTGCCTGTTGACATGGATATTTATTATCAGTGCTAGCAACAAGATTGTTAATCTGGTGGGTTTGCCAAAATCCATTTAAAATACATTGTGGAGTGAAGGGGGAGTGCTCAAATTGTGTCAGGAGAAAACCTGGGTTTCTTATGCAATGAGCTCTGAAGAGGAAAGCTCTGGACCCATTTTCAGATGCATGAGGGACCGTCTGGCTGCATCCCAAGTACGCTCAGAAAAAATCCCCACTCCAACCAGCTTGCAATCGTGTAGGAAGAGTCCCATGAAATTGTACGGTGTGGGAACCGTGCGGATGAGGGAAAAGACAATCATATTCTGACAAATTCAGTTATAATCCAAAGTGCTCCAGAGCTTCCAGTCAGAGAGGTCAGGGCTGGTGTCTAAAGTGTATACAGGTATTTTCTCCAGGTTACATGCCGACCATAATTACTTCAGCCTTGGCCAAATTCAGCTCCAACTGCCTCATATACAGCTTGCCATCCAACAGGGACAAGCACTGGATTAACACTAGGATAAGATTTGTTACCGAGAAGCTGAGTTCAGCTGGAACCCTGCACATGCCATGAGACTATTTGCTTAAACAGATCAGGATTGCAGTACCTCAAGGACCTCCTCTCTCAGTATGAACCTACCCAGACCCTGAGATCATCTTCTGAGGCCCTTCTTTGCGTGCCTCCTCCATGAGAGGTCCAGAGGGTGGCAACACAAAAACGAGCCTTTTCTTCAGTGACTCCACAATTGTGGAAAGCTCTCCTCATGAAGCTTCGCCTGGCACCTTCATTATATATTTTTAGGCAGCAGGCAAACGATCCTCTTCAACCAGGCCTTTGGCTGATTGACATCTGATGCCCTTTTAAATTGTGTTGGGGAGGGAGGGATTATTGGGTTGTTCGTGTTTTTGTTTTCATAATTGTCCACAGCACCTTGGCCATATCTAATTCAAGTATTCACCCACTCATCCTTATCCAGTCATTTACTCCAGGAAATATTACAGTACATATCCCCCAACAATATGCTGCACTCAGAGATCGAAATAACTCTACATTGATATTGCCAGGGAAATGTCTCTACCTTTCCCCATGAATGGCATTCCAGTCACCTGGCTGTAAACTCTGATCCTTTGTGACCTCACTGCTACTTGGAAAACCATATTGTACTATGTAATGATGGCTCACTACAGTGGTACCTCCTCACTGGAAGGACAGATCCTGAAGCTGAGGCTCCAATACTTTGGCCACCTCGTGAGAAGAGATGACTCCCTGGAAAAGACTCTGATGTTGGGAAAGATTGAGGGCACAAGGAGAAGGGGCTGACAGAGGACGAGATGGTTGGACAGTGTTCTTGAGGCTACCAACATGAGTTTGACAAAACTGCGGGAGGCAGTGGAAGACAGGAGTGCCTGGCGTGCTCTGGTCCATGGAGTCACGAAGAGTCAGACACAACTAAATGACTAAACAACAACAGTGGTACGTTGGTTCTCAAATGCCTTGGTACTCAAACACCGAAAACTCAGAAGTAAGTGTTCCAGTTTTCAATTCTTTTTCAGAAGCTGAACGTCCAATACTGCTGTCGGCTATTGTTTCCGGGGCGCCTGCTGTGGGATGTGAAACACAGAGCAGTCAAGTACAACATCCCTAGAGTGGACATAAAAAGGGGGTGTCTGGACCAGCCAGTCAGAACTTCCTGTTTCCTCCTAGACTGGGACAGACTTCCTCTACATGTGACCAGAGGTGGGCGTGGCCTCACCTGTGCAGGTAACAAAAGCATAGGACTGGCCGCCATCTCTGTCTCTCTGACTACATTCATCAAAGAAGCAACATCTGCTTAGCCTAAGATGCTCTCTTGGCTTCCAGCCAAGAGAGGACAAAGGAGCTGTCTCCTTATTGGATAGTTTCCAGGTATATTACTTTTGTAACTTAAGTCTGCCTTCTGGGATCCATCTGTGAAAAGAATGAGTGAGTGAGTAAACTCTTTTTATACTTTTATAGAAGACTGTGTTGTATCTATTCCTTTTATGAGGGACTAAAGGGGAATTTACCAAGTAACTTATTTTAGAGGCTTTAGCGAGCCTGAGCAAAAACATCTGGTGTGCAAGTTTATAAAGGGGAATGTTACTCTGCTAAATTGGAAAGGATATAATCAAACAATATATACTCTCCTGCATCCCTGAACATTCCCACACCTGCACCAATCAGAAGCTGCCTTTTGGTTTTCAAACATTTCGGAAGTAAATCCGACTTCCGGTGCGGATTAAGTTTGGCGCTTTTGTTTTTGCTATTTATTTTGCGTTTTTGTTTTTGAGGCATTTTCAGTTAATTTGTTTTTGTGACTGTGTGGAACCCAGTTCAGCTACCAACTGATTGTCTGAGTGACTGCGGAAATAGATAAAAGACCCCCATCCAAACAATGACTATTGTAGTCATTTATGTAGGGGAGAGATCTCTGGGTGTGAACACGCAAATGAGGGACAATGGGGTCAGATGCGAACAAAATGTAAGACAAATAATAAGTTCCTTCCTGTGCATATCTTAGAGTAGGTAAGAGTTGTGTATTTTGGAAGCTAGGTGCACCTTAACTTGGCATATGCTTAAAGCCCTTCCAGAGCAACGTTGTAAGGAACAATCCTCTCTTTCTATTTTGTATGTTCCAAATTCACACAAATGGAATTTCGGGACCCCGGGGGCAAAAGGAAATAGAGCTGCCAAAAAAGCACATCAACAAATTGGTGCTTGCCCGAAGTGAAGGGTATGAGGAGAAGAAAAGCTCCGAGACTGTGACAGTGATCTCATAGCTGATAAATCACTTCTCCTTGTCAGTACAAAGGTAAAGGCATCCTGATTGACGTTTATAATCCCCCAGCAATCCTCTCCAGTTCCTGCTTCAAAACTTCCTTAATGGCTTCAGCTGCAGCTCGGGCAATGTTGAATGGGAAAGCTCCAGCACTCAATCCATAGAACACGTTGCACTAATAAAAATGTTCTTAACCTGCTTTCCCCCACTTGTCAGAATTTGACATTTTAATACAGATTCTGAGAAAGAGAGAGAGAACGAACCAGACCCAAATCAAAGGGTGCTTCCAGAGAGTCACTATGTTTTGCTGGAGGGATTCATGTGCATACCAGAAACTTATTTTTGTGCTTTTAAAGTGGATTAACGTCCTTTATTGCCCTAGAGCAACAAACCCACTTTTTCTTAAAAAAAAAACAAAAACAAAACCTAGACTTTGTGGGAGTTAAGAAAGTGATGGGAAAATGCACTGAAAACTGTGGGATGAATGAATGAGGGGAAAGAAGACATGAAAACACCCAGCAGGGAAATACAGATGACTGCCCATTATTGTGCAGCTGCCCCATAATAAAATCAGAATGATTTGTGCAAACAAATTGGTATGAATGCTGAATCAACAGGATGTCTGGTGGGGCCCATAATAATAATAATAATAATAATAATAATAATAATAATAATAATTTATTTATACCCTGCCCATCTGGCTGGGTTTCCCCAGTCACTCTGGGTGGCTCCCAACAAAATATTAAAAACACGATAAAAGATCAAACACTAAAAAATTCCCTAAACAGGGCTGCCTTCTTCTAAAAGTCAACAAGCAAGATGAATTTTAACAGGGAGAAATGTAAAGTATTGCACGTGGGCAAAAAAAATGAGAGGCACAAATACAAGATGGGTGACACCTGGCTTGAGAGCAGTACATGTGAAAAGGATCTAGGAGTCTTGGTTGACCACAAACTTGACATGAGCCAACAGTGTGACGCGGCAGCTAAAAAAGCCAATGCAATTCTGGGCTGCATCAATAGGAGTATAGCATCTAGATCAAGGGAAGTAATAGTGCCACTGTATTCTGCTCTGGTCAGACCTCACCTGGAGTACTGTGTCCAGTTCTGGGCACCACAGTTCAAGAAGGACACTGACAAACTGGAACGTGTCCAGAGGAGGGCAACCAAAATGGTCAAAGGCCTGGAAACGATGCCTTATGAGGAACGGCTAAGGGAGCTAGGCATGTTTAGCCTGGAGAAGAGGAGGTTAAGGGGTGATATGATAGCCATGTTCAAATATATAAAAGGATGTCACATAGAGGAGGGAGAAAGGTTGTTTTCTGCTGCTCCAGAGAAGCGGACACGGAGCAATGGATCCAAACTACAAGAAAGAAGATTCCACCTAAACATTAGGAAGAACTTCCTGACAGTAAGAGCTGTTTGACACTGGAATTTGCTGCCAAGGAGTATGATGGAGCCTCCTTCTTTGGAGGTCTTTAAGCAGAGGCTTGACAACCATATGTCAGGAGTGCTCTGATGGTGTTTCCTGCTTGGCAGGGGGTTGGACTCGATGGCCCTTGTGGTCTCTTCCAACTCTATGATTCTATGATTCTGAGATTGTTTATTGATTACTGCATATTCTTCCATACTCCAATAGATAGTTTTCTATTTCCTTGACATGTGGTGGGAGGGTGTTCCACAGGGCGGGCGCGCTACCGAGAAGGCCCTCTGCCTGGTTCCCTGTAACCTCACTTCTTGCAGTGAGGGAACTACCAGAAGGCCATTGGAGCTGGACTTCAGTGTCCGGGCTGAACGATGGGGGTGGAACGTTCCTTCAGGTATACTGGGCCGAAGCCATTTAGGGCTTTAAAGGTCAGCACCAACACTTTGAATTGTGCTTGGAAATGTACAGGGAGCCAATGTAGGTCTTTCAGGACCAGTGTTATATGGTCTCGGCGGCCACTCCCAATCGCCAGTCTAGCTGCCACATTCTGGATCAGTTGGTATGTCACCATACCAAGGACAACTTATTTAGACCACCATTATGTTGTGAACTCAATATGTACTCTGACTTGCAGAAGCATTCCAGGGTCTTGGGCAGGATAGAATCGGCAAATTTGATAAAAGAAACCTGGATATGCTTGGGCTAGAATATGGGAGTGGGGAGGGAGCAAGATTCACCTAAAGAACCTCATCTACGGAAGCCCTGTGCTAGGCACTTGAGCAAGAGAGCTTCTCCCTGTTCTGTACACACGCCTTCTGGCGGTTCCCTCCCTGCAAGAAGTGAGGTTACAGGGAACCAGGAAGAGGGTCTTCTCGGTAGTGGCGCCCATTCTGTGGAACGCCCTCCCACCAGATGTCAAAGAGAAAAACAACTACAGTGGTACCTCGGAACTTAATTCGTTCCGGAGGTCCATTCTTGACCTGAAACTGTTCTTAACCTGAAGCACCAATTTAGCTAATGGGGCCTCCTGCTGCTGCGCGATTTCTGTTCTCATCCTGAAGCAAAGTTCTTAACCCGAGGTACTATTTCTGGGTTAGCGGAATCTGTAACCTGAAGCGGCTGTAACCCGAGGTACCACTGTACCAGACTTTTAGAAGACATCAGAAGGCAGCCCTGTTTAGGGAAGCTTTTAATATTTAATAGACTACTGTATTTTAATATTCTGTTGAAAGCTGCCCAGAGTGGCTGGGGAAACCCAGCCAGATGGGTGGGGTACAAATAATAAATTGTTGTTGTTGTTGTTGTTGTTGTTGTTATTGGGAGAAACTCCAGAGCAGCACATGGGAAAGGGGATTTGACAAGCTGATATGCTCGTACAGATGAAACATTTGTAACAGCACAACATTGATCCCACCTGAAAATTCTTAACCTTCAAGCAGGGATGAGTGAATCTGTCGATTTCAATTTCTCCCAGTTTCTCGTTTCCCCCCAATCTTAAGTACCGTTCTCACTTTTCTGCAGCAATTTTGCTTTATGGCCTAAGAGAAGCCAGTGAACTTCATGACCGAACGGGGATCAGAAATTCCTGGTCGGAGCCCCACCACACTTGTAACGTAACATAAACTCGGTTCTGCAAACTGAATTCTTATTGTGACACACTTGGAATAATTAGCCCAGAGATAGAAAAAAGACGAAGTCCCTACCAGAGAGGAGTGGCAAAGCAAGCTGATGGACTACGCCGAAATGGCAAAACTGACCAGAAAGCTCAGGAACCAAGAGGACAAAAACGTTATAAAAGAATTATTTAGGAGACCACTGTAAGCAGATGGGAACATCAGCATGATTTTGATTTCACTTGTAGTGTAATAATTACCATGGATAATATGGTTTGATATAAAAATTGGAGTATGGAAGAATATGCAGTAATCAATAAACAATCTGACTTTTAGAAGACATCTGAAGGCAGCCCTGTTTAGGGAAGTTTTTAATGTTTGGTGTTTTATTTTTTTTAATATTTTGTTGGAAGCCTCCCAGAGTGGCTGGGGAAACCCAGCCAGATGGATGGGAATACATAATAAATATATTATTATTATTATTATTTAAAGTGAGACCCCAGGGAGCAGATGGGGGGAAATCCTGAGATTCAGAGGAATCTCTTTATATGGATATATTTCTCGATTTTCTGTTTATAACTTTGTATTTGTAAAACCAATAAAAATGATTTCAAAGAAGAAGAAGAAAAGAAATGATTATCTAAAGGGGAAGAAATAAGATGATGAAGGTACAATACTAAAAACCAATAAGAAATGGAACAACCACATAGGTCCCCAACAACGATACAAGTATATCCGCCACAAGGTACGAATGTCCTTCCATCAACTGGACGGAAAGTTGATGACCACATGGAACTGACGGAAATGACTGGTAGATTCCAGACTTGTGAGAAGCTTCGCATGGACGAAGATTGCAATAAGTTTAAAGACTATTTACAGAAGCACTGTAAATTAATGAATATTAGCAAAGTCTTGGAATGAAGTTATATGGCTTTAGTAGCACTGTTACAAGAATCTAAGTACAGCTAGGCCTTTAATAGCGCTTTTAGGCAGCAATAAGGTCAGCAATGCAGTTAAGCTAGTTATAGGATAGCAAACAGAGGAAGATGGACAGGAATTGCTGAAATAATTAACAGAGTGGAATACACAAGGGAGGTGTAGAGGTCGGCAATAAGTGAATGAAAGATCGGATAACGAAATTGTTGATTTATTTCATTGTTTTGCTTTGTTTTGTTGATTTGCTGTGTTATATTGTATTGTTCTTCAATGTCTAAGTTTTGGAAAAATATTATATATATATATATATATATATATATATATATATATATATATATATATATAATGTTTCCTTCCAAATGTGCACATTTTAAAATGAAGTAGTAATTGGAACTTCTCTCATGCCTGAGGCACCTAATTCCTTATGGCCTTCACAATTAAAGTTGGGTAATTAAATATCTATTGAATGGTTTCAGTTTCTTTCCCACATTTCTGTGGTTCACATTTCTCTGGCAGCTCATTTTGGGTTCAGTATTTGAACATATTAATTAAAGTTTTGTTTTTTTTTATGATACGAAGACGTCAGTTTAATGACTTGCGCAGACCCTGCAGAAGAAATAAGAACCTCACGGAGGGACTGCGAAAACCATTTAGCGGCAACAACAAACCTGGCAATCAATCCTTACTGAGGAAACGCTTTGGGACAGAGACATTTTATGGGGAGGGGTTTTAAACGTGGGCAACAATAAAATTACACATGCGATGATTGGCTCTCCTATGGGAAGGGGATGTACATATCCTGCTATGGTCAAAAAAATCAGCAGCCTCGGTGATTGATTTAAAGCAGCTCATCTAGACATGATGGTCAGTGGTTTTCAATCTGTAGGGACTATTCAAATCCAGCACAGCTGCTCAGTTTTATGACTCAAAAATATAGCTGTGTCCTGTGTTTATCAAGCAACAAACATGAACTTGAAAGCTGCTTCTGCTTTCAAAATTCTTAGTAGCATCCAGGGAGGACTGGTGGAAAATTGCTAGGAAAGCAGGTCTCCCTGCAGTTAAGACAGGATTATTATTAAGGAACTGTGGACAGAATATGAAAGGTGGCCCATGATTTGTGTCCCCACCCCAAGACAAGCACTGAATGTACCACAGACCTTTCAGGAAAAAATGGTGTGAATACCCTGGGCATGGAAAAAGGGGAAATAATTCAGCTATTAGGTGTACCCCCAAGGCTGCGCTGGGATGATGAGAGTTGTACTTCAGAACAACTGGAAGGCACCATATTGGGGGAAATTGATGAATGCTATAAGCCACAGGGTAATAAGAGATATGAACTATAAGGACAGCAACGTTATAATCAACACCCAAATCTTACAGTAGCACAATATCCTTTAAGCTAGTTCTGCCGACCTCTGAGTGATCAGAAAACCCAAAGTATTCCCCCTCCCCAGTGAAGCAAATATATTTAGTATAGTAGAAGATCAAACCTATCCATTCTGAAGGAAATCAGCCCTGAGCGCTCACTGGAAGGACAGATCCTGAAGCTGAGGCTCCAATACTTTGGCCACCTCATGAGAAGAGAAAACAACCTGGAAAAGACCCTGATGCTGGGAAAGATTGAGGGCACAAGGAGAAGGGGACAACAGGATGAGATGTTGGACAGTGTTCTCGAAGCTACCAGCATGAGTTTGAGCAAACTGCGGGAGGCAGTAGAAGACAGGAGTGCCTGGCGTGCTCTGGTCCCTGGGGTCATGAAGAGTTGGACGTGACTAAACAACTAAACAACAACAACAGTATTTAGTTTTCAGATCAGAAAACTAATAGACCTACTCACTATGTGCCCACTCGACCACTTTCATCTGTGTAATTTAATCTGTGGTTTTAGTTTATAGTGTACACTTTTTACTGTTGCCTTTATCCATTTTGCTTTTTTGTAAACCTGCTTTTAAACGTTTGTTTTCATTGACAATTCAATGTATATTTAAAATTTTAAGAAGAAGAAGAATGTTGTTATTGAGGCCACTTGGGGCAGCTTCCAACACATATAAAAGCATAATGAAATATCAAACTTTGTGCCTTCAGGTGTCTTCTGTTTTATATTCTTGGAGATTTTATTTACATTCAAGTGTCATACAGACTTGCTTAAATAACTAACACAGTAAAGTTAAGTTCTAAAGAGGATAGCTGGATGGCTGGTACTGTTTGTGGCATGTCTATCACACCATAAAAACAACATCAAGGATAGACACTGTTGGATAGCTGCTCTCAGAAGGCCCCACTGCTGTTCTGCTGATGACCCAAAATCTTGGCTCCAGCTACCTGGCTCCAGTGGTCCTCTCAGCACTGGGCCATCACTGGTTTTCCTTCACCCAACTCTGGGCCCTGGGTGCCTGCAGGTGGCGCTTGCCTAGGGTTGCCATACTAGGCTATTGGGCTTTTTTTGGATCTTCTAATGATTTTTTTTAATTAAAAAAAATAAACCCCCTTGCCATACATCTGGGTTCTCCTGGACATTTTGCTGATTTGTTGCAAACCCGCTTGGACGCCATTTTCCTGCCCAATTCCCAGACATGTCTGGCAAAACCCGGACATATGATGATGATGATGATTTGTTGAATTTATATACCGCCCTATACCCGGTGGCCTCAGGGCGGTTCACAGAATAAAATCAAGATATAAAACCACAAAATACATAATAAAAATAAAAACAACCACGCAATAAGCCCCGCCCTCCCCAGCACATTTTAAAAGGGCATAGGATGTCAATCAGATCAACCAAAGGCCTGGTTAAAAAGGAACATTTTTGCCAGGCACCTAAAGGTGTATAATGAAGGCGCCAGGAGAACTTCCCTGGGGAGAGTATTCCACAGATGGGGAGCCACTGCAGAGAAGGTCCCGTTCTCGTGTTGCCACCCTCCGGACCTCTCAAGGAGGCACACGAAGAGGGGCCTCAGAAGATGATCTTAGGATCTGGGTAGGTTCATATGGAAAGAGGCAGTCCTTGAGGTATTGCGGTCCTGAGCCATTTAAGGCTCAAAGCCAGCACTTTGAATTGGGCCCGGAAACTAATTGGTAGCCAGTGCAGTCAGACCAGGATCGGTACAATATGCTCAAACTGTCTTGCTCCAGTGAGCAACCTAGCCGCTGAATTCTGCACTAGCTGAAGTTTCTGAACCGTCTTCAGAGGCAGCCCTATGCTTGCCATTTTAATTCCCCAGCCATGTCTCTGGAGCTCCAACAGAGCATCCCTTCAGAGGTCCAAAAGCATTGCAGGGGAATTAAAATGGTGAACACACCCAGCTGTGCTTACTGGCTTGACCAGCTTTAAAAGAGCAGGCACCAGCAACACCCACCTGTGCTTACCTGGTACTGTCAAAGTAAGGAGAGGCAGGGGGTCCCCTACGGCAAACCTGGTGTCAGGCCTGACGAGTATGAATAAGTCATTTAACGTGATGTAAAATGAAAAAATATTGAAGAACATGAACCCACCCCTCAACGCCACACTACACTTCCAAAGGCAGCCAGTACATATTTTTTTCTTAAGTGAAGCGTAAGCTTTTATGGGCTACAGTTTGTTTATTATTTAACAACAGTCTGCTTCAGTGATATGGTAATTCAAGTTGACATTAGTAGTTGTTTGATTGACAATGGACTCTCTAAGAATTTTTGTTGGTCTTACAAAAGCCGCTTAGCTTCCTTTAAAGTTTATCTGGTATTTACCCTGAGCATGGAACTAAATTTGCCTCAAATGTCACTTCAGGCAACATTTGGAAAATATAACCGAATATTGCTTTCCTCTGTGTTATATTTTGAGACCTTTATGTCACCAGTTTTACTTGTTTCCCTGGGAGTTGTGAATCTAATGGATGAATGTTGCCCCCCCTTACGCAAGATCCGAGATGAAGAGCTAAGCAAACAAACCGGCTGGGATATCCATTTGTCTTCTGTTCTACTTATCAATAAATTTTAAAACACGTTCACAGCTGACATCACTCAAGCCACATGCAGAGTGAAGTTGTGCATTTGTTTTGGAAATTGCTGTAATTAAGGTTAAAGACAATAACTCAGCACTTGCCTGCCAAATTGTAGACAAACCATTACATTTTATGGGAAAGTCTGAACTAAAAAACAGATTTCCTCTACTGTTACTGGAAAATAGAACAAACTGGCCATCTTGCCCTATTAGCATGAGCAAAATACTAACTTGATTCCATAAAAGGAATGGCTCACCAAATGGGTAAGTTGACTCTCGGGGAGACACAACCACCATTACTCACTGACTTTCCCCCCCTGCATACGACAGAACATTGTGGTTTAACTGAAAGCACTACTAACTGCAGCGGCGGGACACGGGTGGCGCTGTGGTCTAAATCACTGAGCCTCTTGGGCTTGCCGATCAAAAGAAGAAGAAGAAGAATTTGGATTTGATATCCCGCTTTATCACTACCCTAAGGAGTCT